GTAGCAATAGCAGTAGCAGTAGTAGTCGTAGTAGTAGTAGTAGTAGTAGTAGTAGTAGTAGTGGAAGTGGAAGTGGACATAGAAGTCCACGCACAGGTGGGCGGGTGATGCGGGGTGATACAGGACAGAGCAGGGGTGAAGCAAGGAGACAGGAGTTCTCACGAGAACAGGCCGCAAAGTGGCCGCAGTGATCCGAGTCCCGAAGCTAGGTCTGTAGGTTGCTTGCTTTGGTTGGCTTCGCGGGTTTCAACCTCTTGCAGCATGTGCTGGCGGCTCGAACCAGAGTAGTATGAGTAGTACTCTCCGAGCACATGAGCTGTGGGTTGGTCGCTAGTCAGCCGGCGAGATTATATTGCTTGTTCTTCCAAGCATCCAGTTGTTGACACAGTTCTGCACTGTCGCCCCAGTATCCGCACGCGCTTTCATGATCTGTTATCGCCTGACGCTTGGATGCCTTTCAGAAGCTGTGGGAGGGCCATGCAACAAAATATTTGAAGTTGCCTGCTGTGATCTACCTGAGGGTCTGTCTGACTCTACCGCATCTTGCCCATGCGTTGGTCAGAGACACCTCTGTGCCTGCACAAGCATGTGCTCAGCCACGGGCTCATCATTGACTCGAGTGACGGGAAGGGCGCCGGACCGCCGGATGACAGTTTTGTGGAGCCATGGAGATGCAACTTTCGCAGCTGGGAGAAGCCGCAAACCAGGAGTATGATGAGCAAGAAGATTTCCAGCGGCTTGCCCAATCATCTCGTCGGTACTGTATGCCTTCGCCGAGCAGGAAGTGTGCCCACAGGCCATGTACAAAGAAACAAAATCCAAACCTGAGGCGGCTTTACAGCTTCTTGCTCTTCATTGCTGCGCTCTGGATCGCTGGAAAGGTGTTCGCTCGGGCAGGCCTTTGGCAGCAATTTGACTTGCAGCAGTCATCCGATTGGCAAAGTGTCCGTCATTTCCAGTTTCCGCCCTCCTGCCACAAGTTGGTTGCCTGTGTAATGCACTCCACTGGTGTGCACAAACACTGCGCCAATGCCGAGCGAAGCAGTCAGTGACGTCACTGCTCTCGAATCCGGGGGGTGACGAAAGTACAAGTACGACTCCGGATTCAGCCTTAACCCTAAACCCTAAACCCGCTTTTCGTGGAGATTGAAGCTTTGTTTTGCGCGGGGTGGTTCCTTCAGTCTCACGACTTGGGGCGATCCTGTGAAGTTGTGCAAAGCCTAAGCAGGGGCCGAAACAATACCAGGAAATCTTAGGCCCCAGCCCTAAACCCTAAACCGCTCCAGTGTTTGCCATCGTCATGACTCCTAAACCCTAAACCCTAAACCCAATGACAGGTCAAACTGAACGAAGGACCTCGACTGACTAAAGGGTTCCGAGACCTGCACCCAAAAGCTAAGCTGGCGAAGGAGCCCGAAGCCTGAAACTTCCCACCAGGTCAAGTCTCATGCGCCGTGAACACTCTACGGGAGTTTCCGATTCTTTTGGGGTCCCTTTAATGAGGATCCTACTATTCAAGGTACTATATTGGGTCCCCTATGACCCCATATTGTGCTTGGCACCGGCAGGCATGCCAGCGCTGGTGGGCGAAATCACCATTGGCATCCTTGCAGGACCCCACTTTGGAAATCTGGTTCCGGAATCGGACGCGCTGATGCTGGAGGGAGAGCTGGCGCTGGCGCCTCGGTGGCGTAATTTTGCGCTCGCGCGCGCTCGCTCTCTCTCTCTCTCTCTCTCGCTGTCTTGCT